AGCATTTGTCTTGGCATCAAATTTGTTCTCACAGGCGTGGGTATGTGCATTACTAATAAGGGAGCCACTATGTGGGAAGCAATATTTGGGAAAGTAGAAAATATGTTGTTTTCCATTTGTAATTCACAATCTTCTGTCTATGTAGGGTTCTGCACCCACTGTGGCTAAACATAGTAAGCATAATTTATTCACTCAACTGAGGTAGACTTTTACAATGAGAACTTAAAAAAATACAGAAACCACAATTCTGTGGCTCTGGGGTGACATCTGGGTTCTGTATTTTGGAAAGCTTCCCAGATACAATGGCACTATTTTTTTTTTTTTGCCAACCCAGTATCCATCACCCCTTCTGGTAATAGTACTGTGATTCTTTCTTTGGACAATCACTATCTCCTGGTCTCTTGTGGATGGAAGTGATCTAACCCCTCAGTCCTGCGTGGGGTACATGACCCAGACGCAGCCAATGAGCATGTTTCACCCTTGTCTGGCCCAAACAATTGGTGCAGGGATGAGCACAGAACCCAAGAGACCCAATGACTGTCAGGCCTGAGACATGATCTAGAACCCCCGAGAAAGAGGCCCTATCTTTCTATTAGGATCGTACATTGGCGGAAAGTGAGCCTAGAATAGTTCCTTTCTCTCCCTCCATGAGGGAAGACTTCAGCAAGAAAGAAAGCCAACCCAAAAAGAAGAAAGACTGCTGGTGACATTATTTGAGCCGCAGGGTCGATCCTCTCCCAAAGCTTGGTCTACCCTAGCAAGTTCCAGTTGCATAAGCCAATCATTCACCTTGGCTTGTCATTCAGAGCTTTCGATAATCTTTTTTTAAAAAAAATTTAGCAACTGGCAAGGCACCGATCAGAAAAGATCCCAAAGAGTTACTAGGCCTGCTTGTGGCTGAATGACTGTTCAGTGGGGATCACACCTGGGTGGCCAGGAGTAGGAACCATTTGCCTGCTGAGTCTGCACCCCACAATCTGAGCCTCTACTTTTCACCTGGAATCAGAACCAAGGCCTTGCTACTGCAAAGGGCTATGAAAGCAGAATCGTGAATGACGGGTGACAAAGTATAATGAGGTGAGCTTCGGTGCTGTGATTAGGGAAAGATATCAGAGCTGCCCAAGAACCGGAAGGCTTGCCTGATGACGTAGTGGGCGCCCTGCCCTTCGATGTAATAGAACATAGAAGTTGGATGACCAGCTGCAAGGGTTGTCGTAGAAAAGACCCCTGCAGTGCCCTGATGGAGTGGTTTTCAAAGCATGTCCCTGGGCCAGCAGGACTGGCATTACCTGTGAACTTGTTAGAAAGACACTTCATAGACCCAGCCTCACTCAGTGAGCCTCTGGAGGTGAGGCCCCGAACCCGTGTCAGCAGCCCTCCTGGTGATTCTCACGCAGGAGAGGATCGGGAACCACAGCTCCCTGAGCCCCACCCCCAGAGATTCCAACTGAGTAGATGTGGGCTTGAGCTGGAGAATGTGCATTTCCAACAAATGTCCAGGGAAGGCAGCTGCTGCTGGTCCGGACCCGCTGCGTGAACCATGTCTGAGAGGCTGGCCTCGGTGATGGCTCAAGTTCCACTCGTAGAGTCTCTGATCTTCAGGATTCGCCTTGCAAATTGGATCCTACTAATATGTAACCCTGTCCATGCCGTGGCTCACTGTATCAGCGCCATGAAGTGCTGCTGCCAAAATGACCCAGTTCAGCTACAGGAGAGTGATTGCAAATAATTCAGGCTCATTAACTGCATTTCTTGATCATCACAAAGTCACAAAAGAGAGCAGACATATTTTCTGAAATAAATTTTAAAGCAACAAAAACACGAGGGAGACTTACTGACCTCCCTCAGACAAACTAGGCGTTTCTGTACCTCTTGCCTCTAACTCACTCCCTAAAAGCTTTTTTCCAGCCAGTCCTAACCAGCGTCCTGTGTACCCACCATCCTCCTCCTCAATCCCTCTCTTCCTAAATCTGCACGCAGAAAGGTGAGAAAGCAAGCCTCGCTCTGAGGACAGGGGAGGAAGAAAACTTGAATGGGCAAAGCTAAAATTTTAACAAGGCCAGGGAAGGGAAAGGCAGAGAACTCTCAGATAAATGTTAATCATTTTTGTCCAGAAAAGTTACCATTCATATGCTTTGTGCCACACACAATTTTTGGCCTTTTGTAGAAATCAATTCCTTTAAAGCTCACATCAATATTGTGAGACAGGTGTTACTGTCATGTTTCAAATGAGTGAATCAAGGCTCAGAGGGGTTAAGCAACGTGTCCGAGGCTACACGCACAGCAAGTGAAAGGACAGGAACTTGAACTCAGGTCTGTCTCATTCCAAAGCCCTTGTACCTGATACGCCTTCCCACAAAATCCGGACACACACACATCTAGGGCAATGGGTTTCACGGCATAAGCGCCTTGCGCTACGGCCTCCGGATTTTGCAGCCGGTCTTTCTCTCCCTGCTACTGCCTGGATGTCTAGCATCAGAGCCACTCCTTGCTCCCTTACATTCATCACGCGCTGTGTCTGCCCGCCAGCTATCAGCGTTGCCGTGGGATATTTAGCAAAGGCAGCTGTCATCCTAAAAGTAATGCCTCTTTTTCCACAAGATGATTGAGTAAATATGGCTAAACCAGACTCTGAAAGGCCCCAAACATGAAGCAGTGGCACTTAAACTTGACATAATAGGAAGTGAGAGGGGAGGACTTCGGAGTAAAGGAGGCTAATCTGGCAGCGTGCCCACAAACGAGGAGAGGTTCTCACCTCCACCAGAATCACCGGCAGAGAATCCACATGCCCATGACCACCCTGGACTTTCTGGAACAGTAGGCCTGGGGGAGGGACCCACCCACTTGTATGGTTAAGAAGTTTCAAGTTGATTCTTCTTCTCTTGGCCCTAAGAGCCCACGATGCCTGTCCAAGAGAAGGTAGCTTAATAGGCTTACTTACAAGTAAGACAATTTTGATTAATAGATTAAACAGGGATTTTGTTTAAAAACAACAGGAGAAATTGTAGATGGACACTGGTTTGTTTTAAGTTAGCAAAGTCTTTCTAATCAAGCACAAACAGGAGGAATAAATAGATCTGACCAAATTTTTAAAAAGATAGTAGCCCTGTCGGGTGTGGCTCAGTGTTGAACATCAACCCAGGAACCAGGAGGTCACCGGTTCGATTCGTTGGGGCATTTGCCCAGGTTGTGGGCTCCATCCCCAGTGGGGAGTGTGCAGGAGGTAGCCGATTGATGATTCTCTCTCATTGATGTTTCTCTCTCTTTCTCCCTCTCCCTTCCTCTCTGAAATCAATAAAAACATTTTTTTAAAAAGGTAGAAAAACTTTTATCAAAAACTACCATAAACCAAGTTAAAAGGCAAATAATGAACTGCAAAAAATCTCTGCTACATATTTGACCAAAAAAATTAATTCCCGCAACAAATAAAAAGTGCTCCAATAAGGAAAAAAATAAACATTCCAAAGGAAAAATGGGCAAAATTCATGTATATATTTCATTAAAAAACAAATACCAACTCTTAATAAATATAAGAAAAGTTTCACCTACTTACTAAACAAAGAAATTAAAATTAAAACAAGGTACAGCTTTGGCCAATACTTATAAATGATAATGCCTCGCATGAGATGACTAAAAGCAGGCACATTTATATGTTCTTAGAGAACTGTGAACTGGGACAACTTTCCAGTGGGCAATGTGGCATTATGCCAAACGTTCACTTTCTTGGATTCGATAATCCCCATCATTTCTATGAATTTACCTTAAGGAAGTGACCACCTCTTCATACAAAGTCGAACGCACATGGATTCAATGTGTCCTTAGTAGAAGTGAAAAACTGGCGATAAACTGCATTACAATAATCAAGGATGAGTTCAATCAATTGTCCTCCAATAAACAAAAGTTATTTTGATGATCAGAAAAGCGGTAATCATTATTTCTGAGGTTTACACGATAATGTCATGGAGTGTTACGTAGGCTGTGTCCATCTACAATTTCTCCTGTTGTTTTTAAACAAAATCCCTGTTTAATCTATTAATCAAAATTGTCTCTCTTGTAAGTAAGCCTATTAAGCTACCTTCTCTTGGCCAACCTCTGGTGGCCAAGAAGTCATTTAGTCTTTCAGGTGTGATGTTGTGAGGACAAAGGAGGGGGTGATAGCAGTGAAGAAAAAATAATTTTCCTATTTGGTGCTGTCCAATATTGTAAACGTTAGTCATATGCGGCTACTTAAATTTAAAGTTAGATAAAATGTAAAATTCAGTTTCTTAGTTGCATTAGCCATATTTCAAGTGCTCAACAGCCACAAGTGGCTAGTGGCTACCGTATCCGACAGCACAGATTACGGAATAACTGGAAGGTTCTATCGGGCAGTGCTAATGGAAACATTCCTCCTCACACCTGGATCCAGTCTGGACCCAGCTCTGGGCTCCTCTCTTCAGCCTCATCCTTGGTACACCTTTTCTCCAGAAGAGCAGACACCATATGTGTCTGGTTCCCCCAGTCTAGTGGGGGAGACGTATTACCCAGGTATTTACACACCATGGAGAGCACAGAGCTCACCTGGGGTCAGGGAAGTCTCCCCAAAGGAGGAGGGGGAGGCATTACCCAGCAAGCAAGGAAAAGACCACTCTAAGTGGAGAAAGGAGCAGGATATGAAACAGCACAGCATCGGAGAGGCATTGCCAGCTGGCCAGGCGTGTCATCCTTCAACAGACAGTGCGAGTGATGGGCGGGGCCTGAGCCCGGTTCTGGGGACAGAGGGTGAAGTGGACAGCACTGGTCGCTGTTCTCAGACGCTTATACTCCCATCCAGTCCTGCAGGAGCGCAAGGGTGAGGCAAGGCGTGCAAGGACCTCGCACCTTCGCACCTCATCCTAAGGATCCTCGGTGCTTTTTAGCCAGCAACTGAAGCTCTTTTTGTCTCAGTGAGGACCCGGGTCCGACCTCCTGTCCCTCTCCTTGTCCCGGACCCCAGAGCCATCACTGCTGCAGGTGGAGAGCTGGTGGCAGGTGGGAGAGGAGGGGTGCGTGGAGGGGGACGCGTGCAGCAGCGGAGGGACATCGCGGACAGTTTGGGTAAGACGCCTGGCGGGCAGCGAGGGTGTGGATGGGGAGGAGGAAGGATGAGGAGGGAAGTCCAGTGGGGCGGCTGCTGGAGGCACCTAGAAGCGCGGGAGCTGAAAATGCGGGACCAACTTCAGCGTCGGCGCGGAGAAGGCGCTCCGAGTTAGGAAAAGGCTCTCAGGACTGAGGCTGGCGGAGCGGAGGGAGCGCCACTCAGCCCGCGTCTGCGGGGCAAGGTTCCAGGTTGGAGAAGGAGCCGGCGTTCCCCAGGCCGGAGGAAGGGGGCCCCCCAGAAAGGGAGTCCGCGGGTCAGAGAGGCTCGAGGGCCCCCCCTGCTGGGGGCCT